CCCCCCCCCCTCCGTGGCTCGCTATTGGGCGGCAGGGCGCAAGCACCGCCTGCGATCGGAGTGACGTGCCGCTCAGCCAATGGGGCCTCGACGGCGAGCGGCGGGTGTGCGTCCCTCAGCACGGCTCCCTGGGCCCGGCCCGGTCCGGTCCCGTCCCCACTCCCGGGTCCCAGCCTGCCCTCGTCCCGTCTCCGGGCTCTCGTCCCGATCCCGTAGCCGCCCGCCTACCCCCGGGTCCTTCCCTGGCCCTCCCGGGTTCTCCCCGGGGTCTGTGGCCTGCCAGGCCCCGGCCCTCACCCGGGAGGATCCTCTGGGCCTCACCGAGGGGCCTGTGCCGTCCCCGACGGCTTCGGGAGCTCCGGCCTGCCCCGTGGTTCTCTGCAGGACCCCAGCCTGCCCGCTCCCCTGCCCCTCATCCTGCTGGGGCTCCAGCCGCCCCCTTCTCCCCTCAGCAGCTATCCCGTCAATGCCTGGTGAGCATCCCCTCACGCCCGACTCTCCCTTCTCTCCCAGCAGCATCCAGGGTAAGGCTACCCACCGTCAGGTTCACCCTCTCCTCTCTTTCCCTTCAGCTCAGCCCCCTCCATCAAGCTGCTGTCGCCAACGCCTGCCTGCACTCCTGGGATACAGTGCTCCCTGGTGCCCACCCGTGGGCAGTGTCTGTGTGGCTGGGAAGGGCTGCAGCTCCGCGGAGCTGGGTGTGCAGTAGCTGGCAGAGCCATCCCTGCTCCGGTGCTTCCTGGGTGTTGCGGGGACCCCTGCCTCGTTGCCTGTGGGCCTTTGCCTCCCGGGCAGTGGCTGAGGGCACACGGGGGAGCGGGGATGCTGTAGGCGGGTTGGCAGCGGTTAACAGTCTCTCCATCTTGCAGGCGCTGCCGGCTGCGCCGCGGTGGAAGCGGGAAGCTCGTACCTGGAAGGCCGGCACCGTGTCTGAGGCGGGTGAGGGTATGAAAGCAATAAAGAGGGTAAGGGGTCCCACCGGGGAGGCTGGGCGAGGGGGGAGCTCAGCAAATCGCTTTCCTCATGCAGGCAGGCAGCCCGGAGCGACTGGCTCTCAGGTTGGGGCCTCGAGGGAGGCCGGGGGATCTGGCTGCGAGGAACTTGACTCGCGCTCACAGCAGGGACCTTCAGCCGGCTCCTGCCCGCGGCAGGATCAGCGGCTGCCCAAGTCCCTCCTCCTGGGCTCGGTGGCCGCGGAGCCTGAGCCGAGGGGCCCCAGTATGCAGCCTGTGGAGCGCGGCTGGCACCTGAAGGGGGAGGGGGGCACAGAGCCCCTCTCCCACGGCTGCCGTCTTCCAGCACGTGGCCATGGCCTCTCCTCCTCCTCCTCTTTTCCGTCTCAGGTGTGCCGCAGGCGCTCAGCGCCTCTCCGACTGCCACACATCTGGGATTTCAGAACCCGACGTCTCTTGGCAGTGCATCTCCTCCAGGTACGCAAACTTTTGACCTTTGCGGGGCCGCTCTGCGGGCCAAGCCACGTGTGTGCAGCGGCTGGGCTCGGACTGCAGGCAGGGAGCTCAGGGGACTCCCAGGCCTGCCTTGGCCTGGGCTCGGGGTCCGGCCCCCCGGGGTCGGCTGGATCTGGCTCCCTCTGCCCCTGGGGTGAGCACTGGCTACCAGCCCCTTCCTCCCAGGAGGAGGAGGAGGACGACGGGATTGTGTGTGAGCGTCCGTTCCAGCTCTTGAACAGCAGCCGGGCTCCTCTGGAGCCGGCGTCCCCAGGAGGGGCTCTGGCCTCGGGGCTCGGCGTTTTATGGGGCTGTGGATAGGACGCAGCTGGCTGCGGTCGTGACACACACACCTCTGCGGTGGCCAAAGCCACGCGCACCCCTCCCTCTTCCCCTGGCCGCCCTGAACCAGCGCTGACGAGGCACTGGGGACTGGGCTGGATACGGGCTGGGGGCAGGAGCCTGGCAGCCCTCAGGGGGCTCTGGCATCCCGAGGCTCAGCCCACACCTGCTCCACCTCTCCCAGCACACCCCCAGGGTCGGGGACCCTCATCCCTGTCACCTTCCCTGCCATCCCTGGGTGCTCCCTCCTGCGCGGCAGGCTCAGGGCTGTCTCCCTGCCCGCTTTTCCGAGAGCCGTGGCTTCCTTCCCGACACGGTGTCCTGAGCACATGGCGCGGTGCCCTCGCCCAGCCAGCAGCGCGGGGAGACAGACGGCCACAGCTGGGCTCCTGCTCCCTGCCCGGCAGGAGGGGACAGGCGCCTGCTGCCGTGGGGCTGAATGGCTGCTCAGTGTCCCGAGACATCCCCTGGCTGCATCCCGGGAGTGTCCCCAAAGAGCCGAGACAGTGTCCTGCCTGCCCAGCCAACAGCTCAGGGGGGGCTGCAGGCAGTTTGGGCCTAAAACCCTCCCCGGTGCCAGGCTTTCTGGGTCCGCTCTGGCACTCGGGGCACTCAGCAGTCCCTCTTCTCTCTCTCCTCCATCTGCCAGGGATCCAGGGCTCTGGTGCAGCCCCGGGATGTCACGGACGGCGCTGGATGTGGAGCTGGGGCCCGCGGAGGGGCCAGGTAAGAGCACGAGGGGCCAGAAGCGGGCAGGCAGGGACCATGACACGGTGGCGGGCAGGCGGCAAGCTGCCCGCTGCAAAGGTCAGCAGTGGGAGGCAGGGCCGGCAGCGGCGCCGGCGGAGGAACTCGTGTCGCCCCGGGCTGGGACAAAGGTGAGGTCAGCTGCCCACGGCGCTGCCGCCGGTGACGTGGTCCTCGAGGGCGGGGGGGGGGACGGGACACGGCCTCACCCACACAGGACCGTTGCGGGCTGGTGCCTGGGGCTGGGCGGGCGGGCAGGGCCTGCAGAGGAGGAGGAGGCTGATGCCTGGTTGGGGCTCTCCAGTGGTCTGACCTGCCTGTGCCGTGTGTCCCCCCTTGTTCCAGGGCAGGGGACTCCATCTTGGCACTGCTGGCTGGTACCGGGCTCGCCGGCAGAGGAGAAGGGGCTGGGGAAGCCGGGAGGCAGCTGGGGGGGGAAAGGCACTGGCTGGGGAGGGGGGTCTGGCACTCGCTGCTGGGTTGCCAGCTGTTTGAGGGGGCTGCCATGGCTCTCGTTTGGGGGGCTCGTGCCACATCCGCTGGCCGCATTACCCTCCTCCTCCTCCTGCTCTCTTCTCTCAGGTGTTGGCCCAGCGAGAGCCATGCAGCCACTGAGCTGGAAAAACTCACCAGGAACGACCTCGGCATTGCCTTTTGGAGAGGGGACAGGGCAGTGACAGGCAGCCCTGCTGCTGCTTCGGCAGGAAGGACTTGAAGGCCCCCCTCCCTGCCCTTCGTCCCCCCCCCCCGAGGCTGGCAGCCACTGCTGGGGCCGCGCTGCAGCCCCCCCAGGGACGTGAAGGCAGCTTTTTTTTCCCCCCAACTGCTCCACGCTGCTGGCGGGGGCTGTTTGCTGGGGGTGGGAAACCAGATATCCTGCACCGCGGCTGGGGGAGCGGTGAGGCTGGCCCCACGCCGTGCGGGCAGGGGTGGAGGTGGGGAACCCCGTCCGGCACGCTGCCGGGGGAAACGGGCCGAGGCACCTTCCTTCGGCAGAGCCGCTCTCTCTGGCTTTCCCGGCGCGAGAGCTTGAGCGGCTCCATCCCGGCGTGGGGGCTGTCCCACTGACACCTCCACAGCCCCCACCCTCACCCTGGGGGTTGCAGTACCCCCCCTGAGCGAGCGTCGGGAGCCTTCTCATCTCAGTGGCTCGCTGCCGGTCCGCAGGGCTCACCGCGTCTCGTTCCCCGCAGCAAGCGAGCGGCGGCATCGCCCGGACTGGAGCAGCGTGCAGAGAATCCCCCATCTTAACTGGGGTGGGGAGGGGGGGGGATCCAGAGCTGCCACCCCAGAGCGTGTCTGTTGGGTGCTTCCTCGCCAATTCAACACCAAATCTGCGGCTCCCAACCAATAAATTGCCGCGGCACCGCCACAGTGCGTGTCAGCTCCTGGTTTCTCTGTAACGGGGGTTCCCTAAACCCACAGCTGGTGGGTTTGGCACCGGTGGATTTGGGGAAAGGGTTGGTCTCTGTGTGCTCCGAGCAGGAACCCAGCTGCTCCGTGCCACGGAAAAAGCCGGGAGGATGCGATCGC